ATCCTTCACTTCATGTAAAAGTCACTCAAGTTTGTTGATTGTTCAATATATGACAGGAGCTTACTCCACAATTGCGATATCTTGTAAGTAAATGAGTTATGCATGATAATGCCAAGTATGATAGATGGGTGAAACAAGATTATGACCACTATTCCTTTAAGTTTAATGGGTTTTACGATGCTCTAAAAAAATTAGAGATGTAATTAGGCCCATTTTCGTTTATACATTTAAAGAATAGATTATTTTATACTCGAAAGAATGTTCCAGAGAATGCCCATTTGCAAGAGACAATTTAGAATCATAATCTAAGTTGTTACATACATTTAAGAGGGCTATTAACGCTCAATAGTTAGTAGTTTGGAGTTGATTGATCAAACTCATTTTAAAAAAACACAGGATAATTATCCGAAACTGAAATAAAAAATATTGGCTCATTGGTCTTAAAACAGTAAATGGATCTTTGTTGTCTTGATATCGTAACATTTTACTGTTGATCTTGCTGAATCCAGGCATTTCTACGCCTTGAAGAGTAAAATTATTCAACTTGTTGTTCAGTCACTGAACTGAAATTATTATTATATTGCTCATTGTTAACTCACTCTGCACGACTCATACCCAAATAGAAGGAACCTTTTGGGAAGAAAGAGAAGATCATAATGATCACTAACCTGACATGAGGGACTACATTCGTCAGAATAGTATTCTCTACTCTGTCTGGCAGCAACAGACAAGTAAGGTAACAGAAGCACTGTTACTATGGCGAACTGAGCAGCCAACATACTGAATAAACCTGAAGGAATGTGAAATAGAACACATAAACAAACGTTTGATAAGAATTTTAGTTTTCACACTATTAAACAGTTTCAAAGGTTTAATGCTTTGGTCGTAGGTCGTGGCCTCTTCTCTTAGTCAAAGCTAGTGTAACAATTTCAGGGAAAGCTTAAAAGTTCGCTCTGCTATTGTTTAGAATACTGCAACGAGCTAAAATAAAAGGGACTTTACATGTGCACTGGAAAAGAATATAGAGAAACGCGTTGGCTAAGGTTATACATATAGAGAATAATACATGGGCGCGCGTAGATATGGAATTTCTCTTCGAGTGTTCAACGGCTTTTCTCAAAACCGTAGTTTATATGATAATAAAATTTATTTCTCAAGATTCATGACACTGCAAACTGTCCACAAAAGAGGTCCGACACCGTTTAAAGACATCCCTGGATATAATATCTCACTGCATAAAACCGATAATCACGTCATTAAGTGCGAGCGGCGTGTTTTTTTCTGTTTGCACTCAAATAATTAGTTGCTTGGTAAAGGCACAATCAGAGTTAATTAGCTTTTGACAACAAAAATATATCTTCAATTAAGGGCGGCAATCTAAGTTCAAATAGGCAGTTATGTGGTCACGCAAAGCGGAAAGTTCTAAGCTTCGCAATGTTGAATAACGGAATGTAAAAAAAAAATCGATGTTCAGAAGACTGAGCCTCAACAAAGGAGAGGAAAAGAGGAAGGGCACTAAGGGTCGGTAATTTACACGAGGTCTAACCCAAACCACGATTTTACGCAATCATCGGGCCTTAGGCTCTCTCTACAAGAGGGTTTATGGATTGAATAGCTGCCCTTCCACTGTAAGCCTTAGGTCTCCTTGTCAATGTTCACAAAACCTAATGTTCAGATAAAATATCCAGCTAAATTAAGGATTGTTTAGGACGCGATTTTGTTAAAAATCTAATTCACTTTGTTCAAATACCCGGCCTCAGGAGTTGGTCAACTTGTAAAACGTTCCCTTTAGGCAATGCAAATATTTTCATTCCCATTTAGTAAACCAAGTTGTCAAGAGCTGTTTGTACAAGCAAGTTTTCACGCAATTTGCTACACCTTACGTCAGTCGCTAGTTGATCGGCTGATAGAGAGGTTATGGCAATTGATACGAGATCCCGAGACTGTTGCTATTTAGGAGCAGTCGCTGGTTGATCGGCTGATAGAGAAGTTCTGGCAATTGACAAGAGATCCCGAGACTGTTGCTGTTTAGGAGAGGGGGCGAAAAGAGAAAAGAGTGCATGGTTCATATGATTTTTGCGGAAATGAACTTGTTTAGCTGTGGACGGGTCAATCGGTCGAAGGCAAAACAGCTAAACTCAAATAGGAAGCAAATAATACTCACCAAGTTGATATGCAACCAACCAAGCTCGGTGCGTGTTTACACAGTCAAATTACCCGTTAAGACTGACGAAGGTAGTAAAGATACACATTTTTATAGATTCATAATACCAATGAAATCAAACAAGGAACTTATGCAAATTTTGAGGTTTTACTAAGAGGAAAAAATTCCAACTCAGTGAAGCAATTTGTTCGCACTAATGCTGTTTATTGTTTTGGGATTAAAAGCTAAGGACTCAAAAGTTAAGCCGGGCACGAAAGAGTTATATATCTTCCTGTTATCTGAAAATATCCTTTTGACTATAGAGTTGATAATGATTTTGCATAATGAGGAGTGATGGTTTCTAGAGAAAAGAATTCTAAAGAATGAGTAACCGCAACAATTTTGCTGCTATTTGTCCTTCCTGCGAGAAAAAAGTTCGGAAAAATCAAAAGCGTGTCCTTTGCGAGGTCTGCATGTCATTAACACACACTCGCTGTTTTGGAGTCACTAGCTTTAACGTAAAACAAGTCCAAGAGAATCTCTGATAGTCTAAAGGTAAGGTCTGTACTCAAGCCAAGTGGCTCCTCAGTCGGAGCTTGTCCCGGTTTCTTTAGCACGAAGCGTCTAAGAGTACTACCACTCCCCTGCTAAAAGTTAAACTTGCAACACAAAGAAGATTGTTTTGACCACTAACCCGTTTTGAGAGGCCACCATCATCGTCTGAAGAGTTCTCTTTAAACTGTTTAGCAGCAAAAGGGAAGCAAGGTAACAGAAGCACTGTTACTAAAGCGCATTGCACGGTCAGCTTACTGAATAAAACTAAAGGAATGTTTAGAACACGCAAAATAAACTTCTGATGAGAATTTTCATTTCCGCGATATAAATTAATTTCAAAAGATCTGCGCTTAAAAGACATACAAATTTGTTAAGCGAAGCGTCCGCTTCTTTGGAAGTTTTAAATGCAAAGAAATTTGACTTCCGGCTGATTCAAACTAAATGTAGTGCAACAGGTTGGAAGAGGGCGTAAAAGTTTGCTCTCCTGCAACGTGCTAAAGAGGACTGTGTGAGCGCATAGGAAAATAATATGGCCGGTGTAACTAAAAAATGGGCAACATGTCGAAACGCGCAAGCCTGAGATACTGACACCATTTGAAGACCGACATAGAGACACGATTTGTTGCTCAGCAAATGTTCAATTAGTAGTGACAAGAGAATATCAACTTGATAGTGAAGATAAATCTTTAAGAACGGTAATCTTTAAAAAGGGAAAAATTTGCTAGGCCGGGGACAAACCATTGGCAGGGCCAATATATTTTTGACCAATTTTGAATTCAGGATCACTTATTTACTAGTATTTGACGCAAACGTCAAAGTAGCTAACAAATTAAAGAGTTTAAAGCAAAACAGTTCAATTAAGGAAAATTGAAATGGAGAAAATTTTACATACTTGCCTTCTTTTTTCTTTTCTTTTTTTTTTTCTTATTTCCTTACGTTCCTCTTTTCTTTGTGGTAGGAAACTTCTGTGGTCCGAGATGACTGATATTTCGTCAGAAGCTATACTTGCAATTTTGTGTCCAATGGGCGAAACATGAAAACTCGAAGGGAAAATAACATTGTTGAATTCATTGACTTGTCTCGTTTAAAAAAGTGCAGCTACACAGCTGATGATTTGCACATAGATTTTAATGCGCATACAAGGAATATTAATTGACGTGTGTCTCCCATGTCGAGCTTTTATGGCCAATGCGTTAAACTTTTGTAGGGTTTTATATTTAAAAATTTTTCCGTGAATCGAGGACTATTAAAGAAACCAATAATTAAAAACCCCCAAAATCATCATGCTACGTCAAGAGTCCTAAGAATGAAAACCATTAAGGACCTCACTGCATAAGTATTGAATTTCTGCTTCCGCTGAAGACGCACAAAAGCCTCACGAAGGAAACAGGAAGGTGATCGTTAGAGATCATTCTAGGGAAGCAGGGTTGTAAAGTGATAACTCGTTTGACGAAGGGTGGGTTATCAGAAAAAGGATATCATAGCAAACTAATAGAGAATACACTCACATTATTTGAGAAGACGATCAAACATCAATTTTCAGAAGAAAAAATTGAACAAAGCAAAACGAGAAAAGTACGTAAATTCATAGTTTATCAGTTTGTAAAAATTTTGCAATAAAATTGTAAACTCCAATTTCTCCTTAGCGATTAAAGCTGTGGATATTTGTCTGCCTGAGCGAGTTTTTACATAACTTGCTACAGCGTTTGTCAGTCATTGGTTGCGTGCCGTAATTACAAGTTTATAGCAGTTGGGAAGAGCCTCTGTGGCCGTTACGGTTATAAACGGAAGCGTAGAGAGATTTAAGTAGTTTACATGATTTTTGAGAAAAGGAACATCTTTTAGCTATCGATAAGTCAACTACAAAAACTGGCTCAGAAATTCAACCGCACTCACTAACTCGAAACACAGTGCAACTAGAGTTTGATGTGCTTTTGCTTTAATCAAATTACCCTTTAATAAGACTAACTAAGGTAATAAGGATACACGTTTTTATATATTCAGATAACCAAAAGAAAGCAAACAGGAAACTCATGAAAATTCAAACGCTTGCTCAAAGGAAAACATTTTCTGACCCACCGAAGCATATTTTTTGTACCTATGCTGTTTTTGTTTGAATAAACAATTCAATATTGACTTTGGACGGAGATTTGTTTCAAAACAAAAGACTCCAAACTCTAGCCGAACACGAAAGCGCTATAGCTTTCCCCATTACTTGATAGTATTCTAGATAAGAGCTGAAAGAAATGAAAGCGGGGAGGCAGTTCCCCTATAGCCATTCTCTTTCTCGTGCGCCACTAAATTTACTCCAAACCTTGGCGCATGTCTTGGCGCATGTCAAAGTGACTCCGTTGGTGTCTAGGGAACCACCGCAGGTAGGTATCGATGAAAATATAACATGGAAAGTGTAATAAAATCCTGAGCTATTTTGGTGATATCTCTGGTGAGGTGTATAGGAAGATGATAAACAATGAAATGGCTCACGCCATTCCATCAATAATTCTCACGTATTACCATTGGTTTTCGAGTAATAGATATGTTGGTAAGAATTGTCTGATGATACAGTTGTAAGTATAATTATGGGAAGAAATATGAGCATGCAAGCGTTTACCTTGGCTTGAAAACGTGAAAAATGGGAAAAATTGTGTCCTCTCAACAATTTTCGTGAGTAAGAACTGTATATATGACTCCTTGTGCTTTAATTTATTAAGTAACGACTCGCTAAGAAAAAAATGTTAGCAAGGGAAATGAACAAGTGCCCGAAAAACCTCACCAGAAACCGAATATACGCATATTGAACCAGAAACAAGCAAAATTTCATTATAACAAAAGTAGAAGGAAAAGAAGTAATTACTTAAAAGATCTGTACAGTTCTCTGGAAACAAACATGAACTAATTTATAAAGCGAATTACAACGATCTTATTCTGATGTTTTAGGATAACAATGAGGAGAGGAATGAACAATACACGGTTATGTAACAAGACGTCGAGGAAATAATCAGAAAAAAATTTGAAAAAGTACGGATAAGAAACCGAACAACCAAAAGACAAGAGAAACAGTTCGAGACTAAAACGCGATGACAAACATTTACGCTTGCAGTGAAGACAAAAGAAACCGAAAAAAATCTTGCAGCTACATGGACTTCCCAGGTTTTTTTAGATCTCTATAAACCCCTACGCACATGTTAATTCACAGTGTTACATTGAAATAGCGTAAAGAAGGCGTGAAGGCTTAATCTCCTATTGTTTAGAATACAGAAAAAAAGAATAAAGAGGACTTTGCGATCTTACAGGTGTAGAATACAGAGCAATTCATAAAATAGGAAGCATAGCGAAGCTGTTAGACAAAGGATACCTTTGAATGAATGGAGAAGCCATGGAGAATGTTGATAACTTCATATATATGAGAACTAAGTTATCAGAAATGTGCAGCGGTAACGGAGAAGAAGAGATTCGAGCACGCCGTTCAAAGCACCTGGAAATCCAAGTGCTCCGGCTAGAGAACAATTTTGCATCTCTGCAAAAATAATGTGCAAAGCAACCGCTTGTCATTTCAAAGCAAAATCCTGGAAGGTGACGCAGACAATTTGCAACAAGGTAGTAGTCTTCTAGAACAGATTTCTATGAATAAATTTTCTGCATCTCTTGGCTCAACACCATCTCCAACGATGAGTTGGAGATGGTTCAGGCTCGCCATGTGCTCCGATTGCCACCGTCAGCCCTGCCCGGAGTCCAATGGACTTCCAACGGCCGATGAAAGAAAGCCAAAAAAAACAAAAGAAAAGAAAGGAAACTTGCCATTTCACACTGACGGACCCATAACGGATCGACTAAAAAGCAGAAGAAGTTCTTTGTAAAGAAGTAGTTTTAGGCCTTGTTGTGATTTGCATTGAAAAGAAACAATTGAAAGCCCATCGGCAGTATGCAGCTCGCGATGTTTTTCCAGAATTGGCCTATTACGGAATGTGGTCGTTCGAGAGACTGATGAACCTCCAAGACCCAGTGCACTCAACATAACAAACCAGTTCAAATCAAGTGATGATTCATTTTCGAGTTTGTATTTGCTCTCTTCATACCTTCTCAAATGTATTCAACATAAAACAGATAGCTCAGTGATACCTTTCCATTATATGATATAAATTGAGTGGCCAAGATAATGTGAACACCTTAGCTGAATCTATTATAAAACAATCAGCGTTTCCACAACCATTGAGGGTACCGACCGAGAAACCCACTGTGACCTGGCGTTCGGCAACGTTCATTCACACGCTTTCAACTTGCCTTTCCAAATATAGAGAAGACCTTCAATGGTTCTAGGAGCGGCGCATTCTACACCATTGAAGATGAGGTACCATTGTTTGCAACGTGCATCGCAGCTGTAGATGCGAATATTCCGATTCCAGAAAACGCGCAACCCAGTGTCATCCGACTCTTTGATGAAAACATATTGCTAGAAATATAATAAAAGTGAAACATTGAAGAGAGTCAGCACCGAAAACCTCCCTTGAATTCTTCAGAATTCAAAAGATCCTAGTGCGTCGTCCTCAACTTAGCAATCTGGCCAAGTGAAACATGATCTGTAAACATAAGTTCTTGGATTTATGGAATGGCAGTGGTATGTTTACAAATTATTGGCCATGTGACCAGCTACCTCAAAACGCCTCTTCGATTTTTGGTGAGAGGACTTGGCCATTATCATTATCTCAACTGAGATCTTTAAAAACGCACTGCTGCCGACTACCACCTAATTTACCGGGCGGACCTTGAGGATCAGTACTTCCTATCTCGCCTTTTGCACTCGTTGGCGCTTGTGCACCACTAACCCCAGGGGTACCCGATGCAGCGGGCGCTCCAATTAAACCGAAGGTCCCAGGAATTCCTAGAACTCCTTGAGCACAGTCCCTCTTGCAGGAACAGCTATCACTCTTATTGGCAAAGCAGGCGATACATGAAAATTGTCAGGGGCTGAGAATTTTCTGTTTTCTTAAGTTTTCGTAGGTTAAAGTTGTATCAAATCAATGAATTAAAAAATAAACAAATAAATGTTTAGTAGAAAATTAAAGATAAAGAGTGCAAATGCAGTATCTCCGACGCTGCTATAGATCGTTGAAAGCTTGGAGCTAAAGAAAATACAGTAGCTTAAGGCCTCAATCAAATCCTCCATTGTTTTGGAAACTTTTTGTTGCGTAAGAGACGTATTCCTTTTTCTTTACACTTTCCCTTACAATGACAAGGTTTGCATCAACTATCTCTTTTTTTTTTAAGGTCCACTTCTTTCTCATACTATAGCAACACAGCAGTATTCCCAAGCAGAGCAGAGCGTGTATGAGAATACCAGCCATCACTAAAATAGATAACCATAGTCTTTTGTTGACAGAATGAATTCATCTGGTCACGACGATTTCTTAAGACCATAAACATTATTTCAAAATTGATACCCCTCCGAGTGCAAGTCTAAGGATGACCTCCCATCTTACTTTTGACACAACTTGTCGGTGCTTTTGTGAAAAAGAGTCGGCCAGACAAATTCTGATCACTTTTTTTAGCATTCATTACGCTAACTTGTCCCGAAACTTTGTGCAGTCACCCTATTGTCACAAGGAAAGAAAACAGGTAGCCAATTCCGATTTTTTTAAATGATAAAATGGTCTAAAAATTGTTTGAAAGAAACAAAAGTATTAAAAATGCTTAAATAAATACACTGAAAAAAAAACACATTCGTTTACAAGCTTTATGGTTCATCATTATATTGATATTTATTGGTATTAACGATTTTAACACTAGATAAGTAACGAAAAAATGACACTCAGAGAAAATTAAGGAAGAGGGTCACATATTAGACTTTTGATCTGACTGAGTATCATATTTATCTCAGCCCGTCTAATTGATAATCAGCTTGGCGAACAAATGTACTTCCGCAAACTATTATTGGAGATGAACTTTTTTATATGTAGCTATTTTGCTTCTAAACATTAGCATTGCACGTTTCATAACAATATTGTTGTTGGTTGGAACCGCATTGAATATCAAAATTCAATTAGCTTACGTATGCTTCTTGATTGACATTTTCTGCCAAGTACATTATTTTCCACTTAAGACTTCATTAGCAACCTTCAAATTAACATGCCATTAAAATGAGCCTGTGTATTAGATACTGAGTTTGCTAAGTAGAATAGTAATACGCTGGACTTTTCTTAGGTGACAAGCTGAAATGAGAATCAAAATTTAACTAGAACATAGGCAACAAAGATTATTCCTCTTAGTCAGCCGTTCATGAAGATTGAGTATATAGATTTTTCCGGGTTTTTGAACACAGGAACTTTATCCAAACAGCAATCAAGCTTTATTCAAACAGGATTATGAAAGAATCCAGAAAATAAAATTAATTTCGGAATGAAATATTTGTCTTGACATTGTTTTTAAAAAATTATAGATAGATCTGTATACACAGATATATACGGTTTACACAGCTTTAACTTCAGTCAGACCTTAGTTATACCAAGTGAACTGTGCTAACAGCTCAGACAAACAGACCATAGCAAACAAATTGCTGAAACACATTAACGGAGGACACTTGCATTAAACAAAATCATGATCACTGAGCAAACAAAAACGTTAAATTTCTCTCAGAAGAACTGGAGTATTGGTGAACCCTCTGATCAAGAGATACTTCTGAGTTTCTGTGTTCTTTGTCGGTTCCCTTGACACTTTACAGTCATGTCAATTTTGCTTATTTTGAAATTTATCAGGTAATATATAGTTTATCTCACAGTTCAGCTTCCTATTTTAGCCTTTATTGTCCTATTGACAGTGTATAACAGCCCAAGTAAGTAAAACAGACTCAAAGAACTAAGATGATTCTTTATTATTTCCAATCGTTCCAAGCTCCGAAAAGAAAGCAAACGTTTTATTTTAATTGCTTTGCTTCAAATATTTTGGTAGCGAATCCTGCAATATTTGGTTATTTTGTTTTCGTTCCAAATTCTTAGACTGCCGTACCATTCTCGCGGCAATTTTATCAAAATATTAGGAAATCTCGGTTACTTAAAGCGCTCTACGTTTCACGCCGATATCTTGAAACGTTTTCGGCATGAAACATCATGAGTGTTAATTCTAACACAAGCGTTGACTTGCATGTTCACTTACGACGGTGTCTTTATATAATTATATCATGTGATTTGCTGGTTTCGTTAACAAAAACAGAAAATCTAAGAAAATAAAAATTGCTCTATAGCACTTCCCAAAATAACAATAAAACGATCTTAAAGAGCTTAAAAAAGAGATAATTTAGTTTTCTTATCAGAGTTGAAAAAGTAAATCGGCCACCGTAAAGAGTTTCTAATGCTTTAAAAGAGAGATGTTGCCCACGAATAGTTTTGATACGACACTATTTTTTAAATTTGTTGCCATTTTCAGGACAGAAAATTTTGTTTATTCCTCAACTGTCATGTTCTTGCTTATTGTGCCGCCATTCACCTTGTGCGCTGCAACGCACAACGAGTCTAGCAACCTTCCAGGATACCACAAAGTAAGTTTATTTCAATTAGCAAGTGTAACACAAAAAACAGCGATCAAGTGACGCACGAAAGTCTTCACAGCGCATGAAATCCAACCTGATACTTCAAACCTAATACCACATCAAAATACAGATACATTTTCATGGCGTCTTTCGAAAATCCATCAGTTTTATTATTTTTTCCTACTTAATTATCTCTATCTTTTATTCTATTTTTACATGACTCAAAACAGAGTCCTCAATTATGTTATGGAGGAATTCCGGGAAAAAGTGGTGTACCAGGTATTGACGGCAAGCCTGGTATCCCAGGATTACCTGGTCGCGACGGCCGTGATGGACGTGACGGAGCTAAAGGCAAAAAGGGACGCCCGGGGAGCCCTGGACTCCAGGGGCCAACTGGTCCACCAGGTGATAAAGGGGATAAGGGAGAACCTGGTACTCAGGGTTCACCCGGCCAAAGAGGAGAGCGATGGGAGAGAGGCGAGCCTGGAAAGCCAGGGACGCTTCAGCTTTCCTCATGCATGAATTCGAACTGGAAAGAATGTACATGGAGAGCAGGGGACGGCAAGGACCAAGGTTTGATCCAGGTGATCAATAACTCTTATTTTAAATTCAGAGGTAATAGGCCAGATAATCGTGATGAAAAGATAGTCCAAGATCAGAAATGATTTCTCAAATAGAATCATTCGGAATGTCTCTTTTGCTTAGTGTTCAGGAATGCTTGTATCAAACGAAATAGAAATAGGTAATACTGATT